TAAATTTTAAATAAATTATTCGTCTTGTAATTTCATGAAAGCATGTAATTTCAGAAACCCTTGTAACATGTAACTATGTAATAATGAGAATAAAAAATATATTCTTAAATGTAAATTGACCAACAATTACATTTATAAACATATTATATATATGAACTTGAATGTAACAAAATGAAATCGCATCCTCTACTACAGCGATTCTATATAAGCGTACGAAATAATTTCCTGTTAAACCATATCAGTCTGAACACGTTTCACAGCACGTGATGAATTTTTGTAATAAACGCTCTGAATATAATCATTATGAATAAACAATAAACATATGAATAATATACAATTTATTGACCTATAATAATATTACAAAAAATCCTCTTTTAACTTAATTATATATAAAATAAAAATAACTAATAACTTTAAATATAAATTTCATTTAAATAATACATACATTAATATTTAAAATTATAAATAATATGAAATAACTAAGAAAATTAATGTTATGAAAAAATTCGTTAATGAGAACGGAAAGTTTTTAGACCGATCGTGTCATCAAAAGTAAATATCTGCGCATACGCATGACATTCTATTTCGGTGAGCCACGTGCTCCAACCGACACGTGACCACATGTTTATATAAGCATTGAACATTCGATAAAGATATGTGTCTTTTCGTCAGGCAATTACATATATTAAAACCTCCTTTTGAACGAACTAAAAGAGGATTTATTTAATTACACTCTTTTATTTTTTAAATATATATTTCTTTTGTATTCTATTTTGCTTGTCATTTTTTGTCTTAATTAATATTGATTCCATTTTGTTTTTCCATTTAAGTATATGATTTTATGTGTACATTTTCTAAATATTTTCAATTTTAAATATTAAAAGTATCATTTCATTACTATGTTACAACTTTCTCATAAATTACAAAAAACATAAATTTCTCGTCCAGTGATAATTAAAAATGAAAACACTCAGCTGTACCCAAAAATTAAAAAGACGAATAAGTAAAATATAAACATCATATGATAGTTGTAATAAACAGAAAGTCATTCAAACTGTTTGGTAAACAAGATAAGTTCCGCCCCACATCTTTTGCCATGATTCATGAAACTATACCATTTCTAAAGAACAACAAAATACTCAACCATATATTCCCTTCCAAGTTACGAGTAAAAATAAATATGTATAAATTTTTATTTAATAAATCAGTTTATAGATCCAAAAATAAATATCACTTTTTTAAACACCTATGTATTTTAAAATACTACTTTATTTAATTATTTGTAACTAATATTTTTCAGCAACTGTGAACCGATCACGGGCAAACAATATTTCACGAGAGAAAGTTATTACAATAATAAAATACCTGTAGTAATCCCAAAAATATTAGTTTCATTTAAAGAAATATTTAAAAAGTCTTAGATCTCATTATTAAATTAATTATTTTCCAGGAATTATTCTGTACTAACATATCATCCTCAATATTTCAAATGGCACTCGACATATAAATCTCAAGCACGTATTTTCCTTGTCAACTCACGTCAATCTTACTTTATTTTATAATTTATCAGGAATCCACCAAGCTTTTCATTGATTACAAATTATAATATGAATAAATTGATTTGCAAAATTTCCCATAGTTAAATCTAATGGGTCAGTATGTAACGTCTTGGAAATGATAAACAAAGTACAACTATCCTAATTACACAAGCGGATATTAATGCCGTCACAATGTTTTTTAAACAGTACTTTTAAAAATAACGCTGAAATATATTATGTATAGTATTTTGAATGTTACTCTTAAAACATATTTTAACTATCGCTCCTCATTTAAATTTATATTTACAACTAGCTTTCCGCCCGCGTGGAGTTCGGTTATATCGCGTTTCCAAGAGAATCTTTCAAAAATCTGATATAATAACTATACTATGTTTTTTCTCAAGGTCAACTCTATCTCTGTACTAAATTTCATTAAAATCATTTCAGTGGTTTAGGCGTGAAAGCGTAATAGACAGACAGACAGACAGAGTTACTTTCGCATTTATAATATTAGTAGGGATAATTCCTGAATGAATGTTGTAAATTGCGGTAAGTATGAAACTTTTTTAAGGTTCTAATTCGAACAAAGGTACCTGTCAGCTGATCAAGGTTTCCGTGGAGTTTTGTTTTCAAACAATCAAGGTAAGGTTGCAAGGTTACAAAATAATGATGGCAACATTAGAGGAAAAAAAGGTCAGAATTTTTTTGTAACCTACCAGTATCATTCGATTTCATGCTTAGAATATCAAATTAAAACTATAAATATTTTTAAAAAGGCTCCATTTATTTTATTGCCGAAATAGCTATTCAATAGTAATTCAAGTTTAATTTTTATAAAGGAAACTTTTTTTAAACTATTCTACTATTCTTTACTTAACTCTTTGTTTCTTCTTGAATTTAAATATCTGACGAAAATCAAATAGATGAATGAAGTTTTAGAGATAATATAATGCTTACAGTGATGTCTGATTGCATATAAAATTATTCATGATACGATAAAAAATTTACGATCACGTGCATTACTTTGTACAATAATGATTGTATATAGAATTATCTATATACTTACTAAAGGAGTAAATACTAGAAAGAAAATATCTCTCAAGAACCTAAGTTTAAATAATGCTTACCTTAATATCTGCAATAAGAAGTTTTGTTTTTTTATTCATGACAATAGTTCTCAGGCCGCCATTCTGAAAGAAATTTTCCAGTCTAAATTTAACATTATTGACTGTGAGATAAATATGTAATAATATAGTATTTCGAAACATTTTAATATACTTTCAAAATGTGTGATGGCGTCCATAATAATTGTAATACAAAATCAATATTATTCAATATTATTTTTTTACTTTAATAAGAAATAAATATAAATTAACAAGCATTGAATTTGATATGAAATTTTGTTCTTTAATTCAGTGATTTAAAACACATATTATAATATTAACAAATATAAGCAGCGCCCACAAATAACTTTACAACAGACATAGACAATTAAACTTCATAATACAGCCCAAGTAAGAATAGCCAAATATATGTATTTTTCCACTAATCCTTACTAAATTGAGAAATAAATATTATTTACAAAAAATACTTTCACCATTCCTTCAAGATATTAACATTAAAATTAATTCTGCATTATTTAAATTCTATTCAATTTAAATTCAATAATATAGAACAAAAATGTAGTACCTATATAAAACCTTTTTACTTAATTCTTTTTGCTATCCGTTTCCGCGGCGAATGGTGTTAGCGTATAGGAATAAACAATTATGGAAATCTGTTTTTTAAATAACCCATGTGAACAGTCCCGTGTTTGATCCACTTTGTCTTCATGAAACATTTATCAGTCCTGAACGATATTTAGTTTAATTTGAATTTCTTTTAACGAATGCAATTATTATCAAAATATATAGCTTGTAGCTGCTTAATAGTTATTATAATGAAAATAGAAATATATGTGAAATGAATTGACCATTAGCTCTATACGATGATAGGTAGATACATATATCTATATATTATATACTACATATTATATGAGTTTTTACATTAGGTATATGCATATATTTATTCCTAAACGTTTGAAACCTTACATTATTATTTATTCAAAGAAGAAAATTCATGAATAAATGTATTTACATTTATTCATTAAATAACTTCTTCAAATAACTTGAATACTATTTCCGCTTTAACATACTTTAGGGTTGTAACTCATTTCATTCACGACTTATTTAATAATGAAAAAATTTAATGAAAATAAAATCAGGAAGTATTGTTTTTCATGATGTATTAATGTATTGAATATTGTATGTCAGCCGGTGAATAAAAAATAATGTAACGTTTCATATCACGCGGACAGACGTTTGTCTTAAACCCTGACATACATTCACGTGTTTTAAAGCGTTTGTGTGTGTGTGTGTGTATGTATGTGTGTGTGTGTGTGTGTGAGTTCTTAGGAGTTTTTATTTTGTCAATGAATGAGGTCCTCAATTGCAGCACTTAATAATCTGATGCTTCACTTCTCAAGTCTTATGTTTATAGCAATATAACTGAGATGGTATGATTTTTTCTCGTATAAATAAAAGTAGACAGAAAATTTGTTACTAAGAATTAAGTGTTGAAAAATAAATGTTAAGTGTTTCGTGACATTACTTGGATTGCTTTTTTTTAAATGACCTTTTTTTCCAAAAAAACATGCATTAAGCAAATGTCTGTTGAACTAAATAATGTCTACTGTGGACATATATATAATATGTATCTAAAATAAGATTCTCGCCTATTATGAAACATAAGAGTGTATGGATTTGATTTAACACATTAATTTTATAATTACATAGTTTGATGAAGATTCATCTTAACGACGCTTTCTTTCTATTTTAAAATAATATTTATTTAAAAATGTAATAAATATCAACTTTAATTTAATTCGCACTTTTTTTTTCTATTTAGAAATAACAATTATCACATCTTTATGTTAAAGACCGATAACATCGTGTCTTTTTTAAATAAAAAGATAAATATACATAAAATAAATAAAAACCTAATTCTACTTGCTTGCTTAACAAACAAAGTTGTAACTACATGCTTCATTTACACGAGTATAGTTAAAATATCAAAATATCTTAAAAAATACATATCGAATGCACCGTGGCCCGCATTATTCATGACAACGTGGCCCCAAGGTCTTCCGACTGCAAAACAACTCACAAAACACGCTGTCAAGCTTACTACGAAAACAAATACAAGAAAAATCAATTAGTCAACATAAAAACTATGACTAATGACATAAAAACAACAAATAAATCAACTAATGCAAATTCAGTATTTAATTTGACATATAAATTATTCTTTACATTAATAATGTTTGTGACATAAAAAATGGAGGACGTTAAATTTATGTAACCTTATTTAAGTAAGTGTAACAATGTGTTTCGGTGGTTTTTTTCCATCATTATAATATTGATAATGTCGCAGGATATGTTGCTGTGTATCAGCATTGGTGGCAACGTGAGGCGTGGTCGGCCATGTGCGACAACGAGTGGTGGCCACAACGTGACCCAGGGCTGCCACCTCGACGGAAACGTTGGCGACATCCGTTTATAGTGGAAATAGAGATTTTTGATATCCTGAATCTTAATCTACTTTTATTGTTGCTATTTAATAATTACTAGACATCATTATTTTAATTTTTCTGTTCGGATTTTAAAATTATAGACATAATAAATTTATTAAAGAACCGTATTTAATATTAGAAATTATATTCCATTTATTATTTTTATTACTTTGTATTAAATAAATTCATTAATTATGTGTTACGTCTGTGCCTATATTTAACGTGAAATGCTGTTAATACTTTCTTAATCTTATAAGCTGGTAGGGTAATCAAAATAGTTTTTATGACTGAGATATTTAAAATAATTAGTTTATCATTTCAATCACTCTACTACCAAATCCTGTGATATCTTAACACCACTCCCCTATACATATAACCCGTGGAATTACTCATGAAAGTTAAGAATTCAAGAACTAACGGAATGTCTCCTGCCCATAAGGAATTCTATTCTACTGATAAGAAGTCTAGAAATATGAGAAATTTCAACGCATATACGATGTTTGTTATGAAGTAAATAGTGTAACATATATTATTATTTTTTTTTGCGTAAGGGTAAATGGCAATCAGAAATTAGTTTGAGGTGATTATGGCGAACTTGGTGATTAACAGGCATTTGCTAATAGGAAGAAATTAAAGTTAGTATAAAGCGAATATGATTTTGATATTGTTTTTGGTCGCATAAATAAATTTGTCACTCTTCTTACTAAAGAGATTTCGAAGTTAACCAAGGGATGAAGTGACTTAAAAAAGGATTAATCAAAATTTTTAAACTTATGTTCATTCTCAAGGTCAACTCCATCTCTGTACCAAATTTGATTAAAATCAGTTTAGGCATGAAAGCGTAACAGACCGACAGACCGACAGACAGAGTTACTTTCGCATTTATAATATTATTAGGGATAAGCCTACTATATTATACGTCTTTTTCTAAAATTTACAGAGCTTCAAAGTTTGTTGTAATGCTTAGAAACTTAAAAACTATGAAACACTGTATATTTTAGAAAAAACTAATAACATTTATACGTGACGGAGTTAAATAGGATAGTATAGAAGGAGTTTGCAGATTAAGAAAAAAACTAATAAAACCGAAAAACTTATTATAAATTAAATAGTGATAGAAAGATTGTTGAATTGTGAAAGTGTTACTTTTATAGGAATGAGAAGTTGATAATTAAATTGTAAGTATACCTAGAGTTTTATCAGTCAGTTAGTAGAATTTCCAAAACAGACTGCTCATCCGTACGCCCGCGCCAGTGACTTAATATGTCTCTTAAATTTAATAATTTCATCAAGTCATTAGTATCAATATAAATAAACTTTTATTAAAAAAAATTAACAGTATACAGTTAAAAAAATAGTAATTTTTTTTCGACTTTTGACATACCTAAAATGACAATTGAAAAATGGAAAAAAATATTACTTCCAAAGTGGATCATTGCATGCCAGGTGTTAAATATGAATGTGGAGTGACAAACAATGATACCACGTGACAGGCGAGGACGTCTGGGATAAGAATTGTTTATACGAGTAAAAAATGTACATATAATATACAACTAGGAAGTATGGTGTGTGCTAACGTCTCACTAAACCAGAGTTTGAAGAAAATAGGTCGGATACGGATAATAAAGAAATCTTCTAAATTGGCTTTAAGTCGTAACATTATACGAGAGCCTTTATTTAATAATATTGCAAATAAATATCATATATAAAATTATTAGTAGCCATTAGTTGAGCGAAGATTGTATTGTTTTCGAGCAGACGTTTCATTTTTAGCTAGACACAAAGTGTAGTTATGGATTTTCAACATTCTGCCTTTCGTACCTTTATTATCTTTTCCATTACCACCTTTTCCTTCTTTTAGACATTAAGTTGCTTAATCATTTCTGTAGTAATGTCGCATTATTTGAAATAAACATCAGTTCAGTTGCTCAAGTTGAGTTCTATTTAATAATAAATTTAACTTCATATTTATTTTCAGCTGTCTAAGATTCCAGCAGTATAAACTTTAAATGACAGAAGATAATTTTATCTAACATATTTTATTATATGTATCTACTATATTCTATTACTATTTATACATTTGTATTTTCTACTTCTTTTGTCTCAAGATTTATGACAAAAAAGATAACGTCATCTATGTCATTAAAAATCAATATCTGTCATTTTACTAAACTTCAGATTAACACTAAAATATATCATTAAGTTCAATTTTTAGGATAAATAGAAATATTTTAAAATCCATGTGATTATATTTTAAAAAGTATATAATTACTGTTATATTAAGAATGTCACTGTTTGTGTAAGCAAGTTAAAATGTATGTAATGCAAATATCGCACGTGCGACCTAATGCAGCCGTCGACCACGTGATGCTTATAATAAGATATCGCATGTACGATACATGTTACTAACTATATAAACGGTAAACATACTCCAAAAATACATATTTAATTATTTAAAAGGATATTTTTTTATTCACAGATTTTCGAAAATGATATACATAATTAACGTACATAGTTTTATAAATGACTGACTTAAAACGTGAGTAGTGTGAAGCAAACTTAAGGTGACAGATGATCGTTTTGTGTTGAAATTTAAAACAAAATTATTAAAATTGTCACACACGTTACTTGTATTTAAAATTCAGCAATTTTTTTATTATTATTTTATTGGCTCATATTGGCTAGTTGAATAATTGATTATTCTTTTATAAGTTAATCACTTACTTTATGGTTAAATCGAAATTTATTATCTGTTATTAATTAATTATTATATCCGTATTGTCCGTTTTTGGAATTAACTGACAGTGACATGCAAGAACAACTAGCAATACATGTTTCTAAATTCTACATAACTAAGCATTCAGTTTTCGGAAAGTTGGCCACCTTATACATAACCAAATTTATATTTGATTTTTTTTTTCCTTTTTTAAATAAAAGAATTAATATTATACTATTATAAAAAATGATAACTAAACCAACGTCATATACATATTTATTATATTTTGTGTCCATTAAATCACATAAATGTCACAACAACAATAGGCGTTCAAGAAACAAACAATGAAGTTACAAAAACATTACCTATGATATGATATATTATAATGTAAATCAAAGTAACGTCACGTTTTTGACAACCTTTACAAACTATGGCATCACAGCATTAAAAATATATTTTTATCTACATAGTAACTACAATTTAAATAAATCAAGTAAAATATTATCCTGGCTGAATGTTCATATGCAAGCATTGTGACGTCACAACTCACACATGACGCTAATGTCTAACAAGCGCTGGAAATTAGAATTCAGTTTTGAAAAAAACTTAAATAATACGCATTCGTGACATAAAATTGATCAGTAAATTGATTTTTAAATCTTTTCGAAAACCATGTGAATGTTTAATGTTGTACACTTATTAATGTTAATGTGTTTATTTTGTGACCGTATAATACGCGCCATTGCGTCCCCACACGACTACATACGTCGGCAGTTCGTGACAGTCACATTGTCACACTCGCGACTCGCCTTATGAAAACACTTCAGAAACTATACAATTATTATTGTTTTGAGAGTTATTTTCTTTCAACCAATTGTATTAAATTGACCTTCGAATCCCTTGACGTCGTATGGATAAAAATTACCTTACTATTATAGTTAAATGAAAATTTCCAAAGCTTGATAAACAATCGCATGATAATTCTAGATCGTTCCGTTCTCACGCGACCTACCTCAACATCGTGTTCGTACACGTTTGTGCAGATTGTGGAAAATTTTAATATTGTTTTATTTAAAACGTTTCCGATTTTGAACCTGTTTACTACGATGTAATTCTATTCTTATATAACATATTTGTTATGATTAATGCAATTGGGTTTTCATCAATTATTAGGGATCCAGCATTTAGTTTAAGGGTTTTGTATATATTTTTGTTATTATGCAATATTTTTCGTTAAATCTATAGGTGCTGACTGCTGACATACTCCAGGGAAGTTTACGAAATTATGTTTTGAATACTTTTTTAAATTATTTGAAAGAAACTTGTCATTGTCCGAAACCTTTAAATTTTAAAATCTGTCAATTAATAAAAGATTAATAAAAAAAATGTTGTATTCCAAATAATCACATGATATTTTTTATGTTCTGTTTTGATTTTCATTTATTTAGTTAGACGTACTAAGAGATGACTATATATGGGAAATTCTAAATAATGATTACATTTTTGGCTTGCATAATATACAATATGCATATGGTTTTTGAATTCCTCAAATTCATTTATTTTGACACAATCGACCCAATATATAGATTAAAAAAATTACAAACTTTAAAACAAAAAAAAATACCACAGATTAAATATTTTTAAGGTATTTCAAAAGAGGACGACTCATTGCTATTCAGCCGACCTTATATTGATTTCCATTATAATTATTGTTTTCTTCATAACGCCAGCACGTGGTTTCACACGAGGCTTTATAATAAACTAAATAGCCGTGCAACAGCAAATATCAATACGAAATTATTATATTTTTTGTTTCTATGTAGTAGACAGTTTTATTAAAATAATAGTTTTATATAATATTTCACTAATTTTTATGTTTTTTTAATAAACAATAATTATAGAATGTTCCTTATTAATTATTATATATATTTTATCTATGTTAATATTCATATCATTTTCTTCTTGTCTAGTCTAGTGCAATGAGGGTACTGTGTACATTCGTTGAGTTATTTTTGTTTTCTTTTTATTGCATTATTTTTTAATATTTTTTTACGGTGATAACAGAATGGAAAGCAAAATTAATGACCAAACATTTTTTTTGTAATCGTAGACAAATCTATGTAATACAAATCCCTTTTTCTTTCACGAGTCTCAAACATCTTTATCTTCACGAGGTTAATTATTTAATCAATCATTATAAATTATATAAAATAAAAAAAATATATAAAAGTATTTTATATTTTTTATATTCTGTGCACGTTACCAAGCATGCGCATAACACGGTTCGGAAAAGATAAAACTAAGACATAGTAATGGCTGGGTTTTAAACATCTATTAAAAATCACACTTACACACATGTTGTTACACGTTTCATAAATTAAAGGACGATGACAACGTCCGGAAATAGTTATCAATGTTCTTTTCCTTCTTTAAATTTATTTCTGAACGTTACTAGGTATGGTTATTGTATGACAAATGAAATACATCGTTTTAAAAATTTTAAATCATTTAATTTTCTTTAATGAATTCACGTTGCCATCGATTTAAAAATAATGATTTTTAGTTCAGACTATTTTACACCTTTCTATAAGAAAGTTTTACAATAAAGACTACTATATTTACTCTGTGGTTAGAAGATATAAAATTTTAACGATTTTTGTGTGCGTAAAGAGATATATTCTATAGATATAGTGTTGTAATCAGTTAATAGTAATGTATTAAATAATCTGCATGTCTGTACACGTGTTGGAGCATGCGAGGTGTGACCCATCAACTAACCATTCGCTTTGGGTTACTTATAAATAGCAGGGAAATTACCCTATTTTATGGGTATAATATAAATGATAATCATTGAATTTTTGTAATAAGCTATTTAGAATTTAACAAAAAGAAATTAATGTCAGGATTGCACATTAATAATTAAATAATCTTTTTTTAATATCCAACATTATATACTATCAATGCATAACTTTATAGAACCGATTTCATTTAAATTTTTATATCCTACTATAATTTCCTTAAATGGTACGAATTGATGTGAATTCTGTATAAATATTGAGAAAAATACAATACTAACCATTGTTATATGTATAATAAACATTCCAAGAATCCACATATCCGTCTAAATGTAATTTAAGCTAATGTTAACATACAAATTATCACATGACAGGTAACGGCTTAACATAATTAAAGCAGACATCTAATACAACGGTCGGGTGCATAATATAGGAAATAATATTACCATAAATTTAAATGGAAACGCGGTTCTATACGATGACAATACATCTTCCGTCTCGCTCTAGGCGTCACCGCGCGGCTTCGATTTTCCAAAGTAAGCGAGTGGCGACATTACAGTCGGATCTCTAGCGACTTGCACTCGCTTGATAAACGCTCTTAAATTGAAATTGTTTGTGTTTTGTTATAAAACCGTGAAATAAAATGTGTGAAAAGAGAATCAGGAAGATCAGAAGAGGTTTGTTGTCTTTTGTTTTGTTATTTATTTAACGCTTTCTGCCGTTTCGATGCACTGACCTACCGCACAAGACGTAACCGCCTCGAATATGTTTTACCTTTCGACAATGAAAATATGACTGAAATGTTGTGTTAGTTTGTTTATTAAGTACATATTCTTTATTAAATATAATTTTTCACTTGATTGTATATCCTTTTAACATTCCTTTTATTATCTTAATATCTCAAAACAATAGCAGGTCAGTCGTCGATTACATATGTATGTGTGGAAAGTATTATCAATGATGTACTTAATACTTAACAATATATTGATAATTAAAAGTTATTTTCAATTAAAAGTTCACACAGGACATTGACCTCTTTTATCTTTTTAAAGATAACGTTTAATGAATGATGTAGTAAAAAATAAACATGTTTAACTATACACTAAAGTGACCGGGAATGTGTAAATTTTCATTTAAAAATATTTTTCTATTAATTGGTTTTTCTTTTTTTTAAATTTTTCCACCCATCACCATTGTGGTACTTGATACTTTTTATGTAAGCGTTAAATTACTGTATTTTTAGAATTAAATTTCATTAATAATTTTTTATATTTCATTATAACTACATAATACAGTTACTTTATTATTTATGTATTATTACAAAAACACAATGATTAAGAATAAATTTTAATTTAAAAACTTTTATTCTAAGTATTTTAATTTTACTTTGTTTATTTTGTATCTTTGTTAATATTTTAGTTAAAAAGTTCATGTAAAATATTTTTGCGATTCGCATTGAATATATAATTTTTACAGTTAGCGTAAATATGTTTATATTTTATTTTATTATGCTTAAACATTTTAACATGTAAATTTATGAATTATTCAAATATTGAATATGTGTCATGGCTTTTATTTAAAACATTTTTACACTCAAAATAATTTTTAAAAGTATACACGACATTGTTACAAGATTGAAACATATCTTAGGAAGCACGTGGCTAATACATATATACTGAGTACTAACGAAGGCCGTTTTCTGACCTAAAAACATTTAAACCATTCATTCATGCACTCGGTCATTTCATACATTCGGTCATTTATTATATTCTGTTAACAATTAACATGTAATTCTATTCCATTCCATAAACTTCGTTCTTTCGTATCTCTTAACTAAAGTCGTTAGTGCACTTTTCATTCATTCAATACGTTCATCATTCCTTTTAGTTAATTAATATGTTTTGCATACATTCGTGTTATATAAAATCAATCATTCTCAATGTTTTTTGTCAATGCCGTATTATGTAAGGTACATAGTAAGGATATAATATGCACGTGTTTTTACCACGCTACTCGTTCGACGGTTTTTGAACGTATGCCATTTTAACGTGACTGCAGTTAGTGATTGCACACAATTACGTATCACTTATTATAAATAAATTATTATTTATTGATATTACATTGGATTTCCTAATTCGAGTGTAACCATTAATTTATAAATCTACTGGTTTTTGACCGCGTCTTAGTCTGAAAACTTTCAAAATTGGAAATCTATATTCGACCGGACGAACTCTATTCCTCCTTAAAGGCAGTAAATAATTTTGGAATTTATATATTTTTATGAATTGTATGAAAAGTATCCTACGTAATTTCCCTGGTTCTAAGCTAATTTCATCATAACCCGCAATGCCATTTTTAGCTTACAAATAGTGTAACACGCCTCTCTTTTATGTATAAAAAATTATAAGAAAATTATCATATGCAAATACAGGCCTTATTGATCAATAGGGTCTTAATAAAACGTATAATTTTGCATGAGCTAATACAAAGCTAAATGATTATAACAGAACATGTTAATAATGTAATATATTTATTAATTGCAGGATCACATTTGATTCGTCTGCGTGAAGCCAGACGTCAACAAAGATTGGCGTGGATACCGTCACCAATCACTCAAGAAGCGGCCCCTCCGCCTCGCGATCCACAACCAACAGTGGACAAAACGGCGCAGAGTCGAGTTATTCTGGAATTAGCCTGCAAAACTATCGCCCTGATGCAGAAGAACCGTCTGATTCAACAGAAAATCGTCGCCCTACAGAGGGAGACTTCCAAATTCGTGGCTACAGTCATGAGCAACCCAGAGAACAGACGGCGTTATTTAGAACATGTACGTCTATACGGCGCGGGCAAAATTACACTGGTACCTACAGATTCGGGGAATCTACCACTGAAAATAGAACCAAAAGATTGAATTGAACGAACGAATGAATGGTTTTTGTTTTATCGTTCTGTCATGGCGGGAGCTATTGTTATTTATTTATTTCTTTTTTTTTTAATTAATAGATGTTGGTAATGTAATTAATATGTTTATGTTCCAGCAATAATTAATATTGAATTCAGTGTCTTTATACCGTTGTGGCTAGTATAGGACTTTCTTGTTGTAAACTTTTCGAGGTTGTTTTAAGAGGCTGTTGATGTTTCGACTTATCTTCGTGTCGTATTCTGTAGTATTGTGTCATTTTAATATTTTCCCTCTTATGGGTTGGTATGAATGTAATTTTTTAAATCGATTTCGTAATAAAATCGATTATTGATTTAAAGTGGTCCCTTGTTAAGATCTGATAATGGAAATGAGGATTGGGAATCTCTGGATTAACTGAACCAGGATATTCTAATTATGCAAAGCATCATATTAATATATATACAGATATCGAATATAAATATTTTCATCAAAAGACTTATTTGAATTCTAATCAATTTATTAAGAAATCTGTATGTGGCTAATGAAAGCTATATATACTATATTTAAAAAAATGCCTATAATTCCTGTAAACAATGTAAGCTGTTCATTCAGTAATGTATACGAAGATAATATTTAAATACTCTTAGTTCTATGACTGATTTTAACTGCCTCAGAAGTAGGAAATTTCCTATTTAATAGCTGAGTGTTATCCTTTTTTATAATTGTTTTACATTATAAAAAAAAAACTTCGTCACTAAATGGCATTTAAGTAGTTTGTAGTGATTGCACACAGTTATGAATCTGTGGTAATTATGAGTATTTAATCTGTGTTCGATTTATGATTTTATATATTATCTGTATATCCAAGTTTTAGTGGACTATTGAAATTCATACTAAGGTATAATTTTATGTAAATACAAACATTTTTGCGTCGCATACTTATAAATTCTTTTCTGCGCACGCGACCAAAGTTAAAATTATCGCACTTTAAAACCATTATTGATATGTTAATATTACTTTTATATATCAATTAATTTGGATAAAAACAGGGTACCTATGAAAGCTGTTGTGGATTAGGTATTTTTATATTTTTTATCTTAATTTCAAAAGTATTATATATATAAAGTGCACAACCCTGCGTTAATGTTAAGGTATTCTTAAATTTTCTACGCTTAAATATATTGGATAGCATTATTTAAAATGATTTTAAGTTGTTATATCAAGAATAAACTAGTCTGAATTATAAATGTATTTTAAATTTCATAATTACACCCCCTATATATAACCTTTAAGTTGAGAAACCTCTTTGGTAAATTAAACAGGTTGTCATTTTTTATCTATGTAGGTTAAACAACCATAGATTAACAAATACTGAGAACTGAAAAGTACACTATGTTTATTATTTCAAAGAACAGCTTAACCTACATGCTGATACCGTCATAATTAAGTGCTTGCTTAAGTAACATTTACTAAAAAATCTAAATATTTAACATGATAAAAAAAATAGTAATTATTTAAAAAAAAGTAATTATCATCAAGTTATTCAAATTTACAGCAGATCTCAATAAGTTTAATTGCATTCACTAAAAGGTCATTGACACGATAAATAATGAATCCAAGAATAACATTAGTTTTTCGTAATGCTAAAGTATTACTTAAAACATTTGAAATAACCAAAAGGATTTTCTCGAACTTATGTATTTTTTAGGCCTGAATATAAAATGTTGAATCAATATCAGAATATGTTTTTATGATTGTATGGAATCTAGATTAAAAGTAATTAAAACGATGTCAATTAAAATGTGGTTGAGTATCTACATACTTACCTACTAATACAAATTTTGAAAATCTAAATTTGCTAAAAAAGTAACAAGGTTTTTAATAATGTAAGGAGGACGGAATGTTTTAAATTTGTTTATTTTTTTATATTGTTTTATAAACCCTTTTAAGTTTCATACGTTCTTTTTTACATAGTTTTTTAAAAGACCACTTCGTATTTGGAAAAAGCGAACCAAAAAAGATAAAAAGCTTTCGCCTAAATAATAGTAATACATGAAAACCAGATACAAATTCTGTTGATTATTTTTCTTTATAATTGCCTAATCCTTTGTCTCTAACATTTATTAATACAAAGATATTACCTTAAATTAACATTTTCTTTGAATATGATTTATACCAAACAATAAACATTACAACTATTATACAGCCCTAATTGATTGAAAAAAAATATTTAATACATAAATGTTGTTTAATAGACCCCAAGTAGCTCATCCATGACTAACTATTGTATCTAATGCATTTATAGCAATAACATTCATGTCTCGTCTGCTCGTGATTACGGTTGCTGAAAAGTAACCGAAACGTCGGGAGTATGACGTTTTAAAATAGTATTCCTAATAATATTAGTGTCATTTAAACAATTTGTTGTCTCTAGAAATAACATTTGACTAGGTAAAACGAAAGATATTATAAAAACATTATTACGACAAACTATAATACTAAGAATAGATCTGTTAATTTTAGTTCTATGCATTTATTAAAATTTTGTAAGTGGTAGCGCCTAGATGGTGTCAAGTAATTACATCTCAAAAATGGGCTGGTCCAACCGACGTAGTACGATCGTCTTAAAGAAGAACGGCGTGAAGTAGTCTTTATTATGGGTGCGTTTTGTCTGATGAGTGAGAGAGCCGATTACCAAAGGGTTAAAGCAAAGGCTTAATTAAAATCTTTCCTGTCATTTCCTTATTCCCACAATTTCCCCTTTCTTCAAAAATCAAGGTCGTAAACGCATTGACAACAATTGTCCGTGGGCGACGGTGACTAATGTAGTGAGTAGGCCGTCTACTCGTTTGACATCTTTCTCATATAAAAAATCTAACAGCGACCTCTATTTTAATTTCAAGTCTTTAATTTGGAATGCTAGAAATGTTTTATAATTTTATTTAGTACTAAACAGACAATTCATAGGCTCGTATAATTAAATTTATTTAAATCTTCAGACAGACGTGGATTAACAATATACATTCAGAATTCAGATAGTCGTCAATATAGTCTACCTGATACCCAATGCTAGATGCTTTTGCTACAAATGACGTACCTATTCTCTCTTCTGCGAGTCTATGACCTGTCACCGCTACGTTGACATTTACATTACATTTTGACATTATGAAATATGAATTAGGAGCAATGTAATAGCCTTAAGGCTTAATATATTCGCTATTTTTATAGAAAAAATTTAATTAATATTTTATTATTTAATTTACTGCAATACAAAACACATATAACTGAAATGAAGGCAATAATACAACGCTGTATGAATGCTCAAGTTAGCGGTAATATAAAAATTCACACTTGTATAAAAATAAATAAATTGATTTAAAATAACATACTGAGATCTATATTTTTATTTTGTTTCAGTCAATGGTGAAGTTGTTAGTAAAATTGGGCAAGGAGCTTGTGTATTAATTGGAATAAGTAGCAAAGATAATGTTAAGGATATGGAATTTATGTAAGAACTTCATTTAATTAGAATTAATGTAAGAGCTGATATTATTTTTAGGAATTTAACATGAATTGTATAATTTTATTGAGAAAGTTTTATGTAAAATGTGAAAATAATAATCAAGATTTGTGCACAATATTTCTTCATATGCCAATAATTAATAATACACAGTTTTGCTCAGTGCTTCTAATGTTTGGGTCATGCTTGTGCAAAGTGACTTATTATTTAAATATATACTAATTACGTATTGCAGGGTAAGGAAATTACTGAGTATTAAGTTATTTGATGATGACGATGGGAAAAAATGGAAGAAGAGTATAGTCGACAAACAGTTTGAACTGCTATGTGTGAGCCAGTTTACATTATGCAACACATGGAAGGTTTGTAGTATATGTACAGTAAATTGTCTTTATAACCTTTGGAATACCAATCACAAAGCATAATAATGCATTTGTATTTTTTTACGTAAAAAAGTACGGCACTTTGGAGGTAAACAAATTTTTTTTTGAAAATGTTTAAAAGACTAAGTAATCAAAACACTATATGTTTTCCTGTATTCACATCAATTTGAACCATAATTAAGGAATTATTATCTTTAAAAATGTCTTAACAGTTTTTCAACATCTAGCTTTGGTACATTGAAAGTAAATTCTGATATGTAAACTATATTTTGTTACAGGGTAATAAACCCGACTTCCATCTGGCAATGTCATCAGAACAATCAAAGGAATTTTATGAGAAATTTATTAAAATGATGAAAGATAAATACAATCCTGATAAAATTAAAGGTAAGTGTATGACATATAACCAGTAATGTTATTTGATGGTATTAATAATTACCTATGTATACATATATACACTTATATTACAGATGGTGTTTTTGGTGCCTACATGCAAGTTTCATTACAAAATGATGGGCCAGTAACATTGGAACTTGAATCGCCAGTTCAAAATGATAACTCCAAAAAGGTTCAACCTATGTTAAATAATGAAAATGGGGATGCTGATAGATAAAGATACCAGCAAAGAATAGACAAAATTCAAAACTACTTTTAGTTACCAACTTTTTATAATGTAAAGTTATATTAATAAAAACCAAAATTTCATGTTTTCTAAATATAATACATTAAAAAATATCATTAGCAGTTCCATGGTATACATATGTGGCCACTGATCACAGCTTCTTTATTTTGCAAAACCACTAAAATATCTTTGCCTTAATTTTCTGAAGAGGAATTTTGTTTCGGGTTTGATTAATAAAAAAACTACAAGCTGTTTCTACTTAGCTTTCTGAGTGACTAGAATCTTTTGTACAAGCTTAACTGGTACAATATGACTTAAAAGTCGTCGAAAAACTCGGCCATCCATATTGGGTCCCGATGTTTGTAGTCCAGCGATTAGAACATATTCTCTAGCATAGTCTATAATTTCGGTGTCATGACGTAACCCTATCGTCCTCAGAAAGGCAGATAGCAACTGTTTACATAAATCCTTATTTACCACATAGGAATAAGTTCAACTGATTAGTATAAAGCGCCTTTATGTAAGCCAACAAGACAGTATTTTATTTGTACTCCAAAAAGTAACTTTGTTTATATAAGAAATACCTACTATCGATTTCAATTTATTATGAATTAAGTTAATGCAAAATTGAGGGTTCTATGTATCCAGGCAATTTCTACCTGGTTAATTTCGAGTATGTATGTATAATGAAGAAAATAGTAGCAATTTGTTGAAATTAGCAAATTTTCTCCCGCCAAATTCACGTTAGAGGGCAGCACTTGCACCTAAAGATTGCGATAACTGTTCTAAATGACTTTAAGGACAAGTGCTTGACTAAGAAGGATTTCGAATGAATGTAAGAAAAAAAAAATCACCTTGAGTGATGTGTTCGTTATCACCTGGTCATAAATGTTATGACGTTGGTGTATTGTGTCTAATAAAAATGAAATCTTATTCTTATAATTTAAGAATAAGTACTATAGTTTATTTTTATAGCATTTAATTTATTTTAAGCAATCAAAATAGCTTGACAGTGGTGTTGCATTTTCTGGCGACTCATTAAATATGACTCTTTTATAGTTATTTTCTAAAGGTATGTACTTGCCTAAATTTACCAATTTCTAACCATGTATCGTCCTACCATCACTCGAAATGTCTTGATACCTAAGTGTAGGTGATGGACTTTCGGGGGGTTAATTTCCGTCAGGTGGCTACTGGTACTTGACAAAGGTTGGGAATTTAATAAGACTCTTTCAGAGATCGACGTAGAAGATGTGCAGCCTTAAGACTTTTTGAAATATTTAAGGATAATTTAAAGGGAACTGTATGTTGTAGTATTGCAGAGTCCAACAGTGTGATCTCCATATACAAACAACCAATGAATCTAAGTAGAGACTACCCAAACGGGTCCGGGATTGTTTGGGGGAACAACTTGGGCAATCTGATGCTGAGCTATAAGTGGGGCGAAGTAATTTGGTTCCGACAGATAACTAATGAAGATAAATCACCCCAAATGCGTCATTTACACCTATAGCGATGTATTTCTTCTATTGTTCATCAAAACGCAACGCATATCTATAGATATAGAGTTTAAATCTTTGTAATTGAGATAAACAAAATATTTGCAAATATTTAATATTAGTGGTTAATTCAGACATTGGCAACTGCAGTATTTGAATTTCGTTATTTTATATTCCCAAAAGAGGACGCAAAATTTAATTCACGTCTAAATCTCGTGATTTAAGATTGTCATAAGAAGTTGTTGTATTTAAAACCGTAATGAAAATGTTATTTTAATTGTTTTGTTTTACGTTATGGCTGTAGTCAAAAAAAAAAAACAATCGTTGAGACAGATATGGAAATTTTGAGTTACTTACAGCTTCTCGAGATCGTTTTGGTACACTGTTACTCCTGCCCAAGCTAGTATCTCTTGAGGAACATTCATTGTCATTAACACTTTTTCACACTTCATGACCTTAGAAGGGAGACAATTATTTAAATATTTAAACTTTTTCGATACGATCACATAAAACACTGTAATAATGATCACTACTAATAGACATTCTTAAAACTTCATTAATGTGAGCTTTTAATTATTTTTTTTGGTAAAATGCGCAAGTTTCTTCCCGCCAAATTTAAATTAGAGGGCAGCACTTGCCTCAAAAGGCAATGGAAACAGGACTAAAAGGCTGTAAGGACAGACACTTGACACAAGATGTATTCTGGATGTCAACATGGAAACGATATTAATTTTTAAACGTAACGAAACAATAATATTAATTTTAAATATAGAGTATCTGTGAAAGAGAAGAACATGTTGTGCCGGCCGTACTTAAAGTGGGATCAAGGCAGGAAAAAAAAGAGTACATTGTGAATAGTCATTCTCGTCTAAGTGATAGTCAAAGATAAAGCGGATAAGTAAATAAATCTAAAAAATGAAGGCTTAAGATAAATCTCGATAAGTTAAAAAATTATAAAAGCATTATTATGAGCGCCTTCATATAGCGCACATCAAATACCTAAGTTATTTGTAAGTTTGCTTAATTTTTTTTTTAGGACATAAATGTTAAATAATATTAGCTGTTTTTAGATTATTTTTTATTTCAAGTAAATAATAAAATTCCTATTAGCAAGCAGTTAGTGTATTTTGGTTGGTTTTCATAAAGGAGGCACTAAAAAAGATCTGGAAAATACACATGTAATTTTTTTATATAATTCAAGTATTGCAATGTTGTTACCTTAAAAATATCCTTAATAAAGAATATTTTTGATCTTACAGAGTTAAAAAAATCTTAAGGGTTAAATTATTATATAAAGATGATATCAAAAATACTGTTTCCAACTTTTTTTTATTTACTAAGTCTTTTATATCTTATTCCATTAAGGACAACACACCAGACTTCCACGAAATAATGGAATGTGAGAAATCACAGGAGTTTTATACTATGTTAATAGAAATTACTGGAGAATCGACAATCTGCAAACGGTAAGGAAATTTATATAAAATAAAAACACTGAACAATAATTATTAAAAAAAACTTTATTTTGAAATAGTGGTTATTATCTATTAACACACAATTAATGTTAGGCCATAGTGCCAGCGACAATTAGTGAGTTGTATTAAAAAAGAACTTCTAAAGAACATGATATGCTAGTTCTAAAACATTTTATATGTAATCTTTGCGAACATCTATGACTATAGAAATGGACTGTGCTATCATATTTATCAAAATCAGATAGTAAAAAATGGAAAGGTTGCAACTTCCTATGTGAAATTTGTAATATAAAACAACACAGTACTCTTCTATGAGCCAGAGATGTGAGAAACATGACCGTGGTCCATTTGACTGTTAACAGATAATTTACCAAGATTCAAACATGTTAAACTCTAAGAGAGTAGAAAATAAAATTAAAAAATATATATATGTATTTATAAACAGACAAAATAAATGCATTCTATAAACATTCTGTTTAAATTATGAAGTTAACAAATGAAAATTATCTTAAATAAATGTCGAATAATATGTTATATAGTTTTATTAAATAATTTCAATTAGTCCGAGTGCCGTCTGATTACTATTTCTATACTTGTGATATATAGACATATAATCACTGTCTTTCTACTTCACACCTAAACAAACTTTCACTGATTCTTATAGAATTTCCAATACATTTACCAATCAAGGCACTATTCATTTTGGTATATTGCTGATACGTATCCTCACTCCTAATTCACAATTTCAATGCACTTAATAGTTTAAAACTTGATAGATTACAAATGTCATGCTGTCAAAGCGCGGGGTTTTATGATTTTTATTACTTGAAATGTCATTTGCGCTGAATAATTTGAGCGCCAAAATTAGGTTACATTGAAATAAAAAACGTATGCCCCCGCAAAGAGAATCGATAATTTAAAATCTATCGAAACGTTACTATTATAAAAATATCTATAATCTATTCTAAATTATTCCAATGTGTTAGTACTGGGACAGGCTAAGGATTTTAAGAACAACAAATACCTTTTAAACTTTTTTTATGGACGATTCATATGTGCAAGTTACTTAATAATTCGATTTCTACATTAATTTAGTTAAAAGAAGTTCAATAATGTCAAGTCGTCAATGTAATAAATGCGTTGTGTTTTTTTGCACCGCAAATCTATCGATGATTTTCTGTGAAATGCGATTCTAACTTCATATAAGCATTACTAAAATACGTACTTTCAAACAAAACTTGTGAGTCACAGACTATAACCACTTCATACGAACAACAGACTAAACAAAAAAGATTTTAAACCAAAGAGTTTTTATTTGAATTTAGAATCGCATTAATGATTATCAACGGCCAGTATTTGCGGCGGTTGTAATCGTTTGGCCGCTGTGAATGTTCTAGAAGCTGTCTACCAAAGGCCCGAAGAGTAACCGCCGGGTGGCACGCGGTTGTGTAAGATGTTGCTGTTTCCGTTTATCGACGTCACTGTGTTGATCTGACCGTTGAGAGACTTGTAGCCGTCGCCAGTGATGGGGTTGCCTTCTGTAAGATATAAATTTATAATGTAGTAACATTTAAATAGTATTTACATTTATAATTAATAAGAATATCTAGTCTAAATTAAAATCTCGTTCGTTATGTTTATAACAATATTTTATGAAATTAGACTTATATTTTTATAATAATTAAAATAGTGGTGCTTCTGAAATTATAACTATCCTGTATCGAACGTCAAACAACTTTAGTCTTATTTGATAAAGACAGTTGTCCCAAATACTTCACGAGTATCAACCAAAATAGCTAACACGTGAATTTGGAATTTTGTTTCTCAACTAGGAGCATCATATTGAAAGTTATTTGATAAGTTCCAAGTTCCATTTAAAAGTTTTTCTTACAAAAGAAAAATATATAATATCGTCATAAATATAACCAACGAGAATTTAAATTATCAGAAGTATCTAATTTAATACTAAAAGATACAAATCATGCTACCAGTAGCTAGTTTTTTTATTACAAAATAATGCTCAGTTAAACTACTTAAAGATAGGACAAGATTTCAAATCGGAACGAAAAAGAAATTTAATATTATAACCTAAAGAGATTCATTAAAAAACTACGAATTACTAAAAACATTTAAAAATTAAAATAAATAAAATGTTCAAGGTACATACAAAGAAGATAAATTGCGTGCAACTTTAGATATTTTATACATTTAATAATTTTCTAAATCTAAAAACGGCTTAAATTAAATAAAAGAGTAATTACAACATAAATAAGAACTAAACGTTTATTACATTATAACTAAATCAAATTAAATACACAGTAATAACTACATACTTCGCTCACATAAAAAGCAAATAATAATAAAGTTGAGTGCTTAATTACAGACCCGAATGAAACGTCAATGTCGTTCATTTGTAGATAATAAAAGCGCTTTATTGACAAGTGCAAAACGGACCGAAAATATCCCCTAAAGGATATTCGTAGAGGTACATAATTTGGTCAGTCTAAATTAAGCACCCACCCAATTCTCTCCGGGGGGCATAGTCTAGGTAATACGTCTTATGGTTGAAGTCTTCCGCATGCCGATTGACATTAAAGAGGTATCCGGGGACATACTTGTGGAATATTGGAGGGAAACCAGTTAAGGTGCTCGGACCGGGCGCTGATGGTGTTTGTATGAGAGTCACGTCGGGTATTGGAGCATCGCGGTCGTATTTGAAAAGTGTTGGCGGTGGATCGAATTTAGATTGAATGAAAGGATCTATGGGCCCATCTAATGTTGGAATCGGATTATATTTGTAATCGGGTTGTGGGCGTTCCCCTAAAGCTGATGTCATACCGACAAAAGCGTGTGGGGGTAATGGATGGTAGGGTACGTGATGCTCTTGGGGTTCCAAGTAATGCTGAGCCGGGAATGGAGGCCAATGTCTATCAAGGACTAGCTGAGGAGACAGTGAGTCCGGATCAATTATGGGATGATTCTTTTCTGGGTCATCGGTTTTTAGTCCGAGTAAAGTGTAAGGAGTGTGTTGGATGTTTAACGTCGGTTTTATTGTAGACTCGACGTAATAGTTGGGTGTTTGGGGAGGCCATTCACGTGTAATGTATCGATGGGTCGGTTGAGGTTCTAGGAGGTTTTCTATGGGATAGGTGTTGGGATAGTTTGCACCTCGCTGGCTGGCCGCGGGGTGGCGCCTGCGCGGGGGCGGCAGGAGCACTCCGTCACCAGTGACTGGATTCCTCTTCGGTGGTGAATATGATACTGACCATTTAGAACAAACGGTTTTCATTTCATATTAAGATCAACACCAAAATAATAACTATAAAATTAACACTTGAAAATCCTTTCGTGACACATTCATTCAAGAGTAAAATTTTACCGTTAGTATTAGGTTGATCTTATTTTTTACAAATATTTTTTTCTAAGACATACTTCGTACCTAAGGGTGACACCTATACCTAACAAGTTAACACATAAGTAGTACAGATGACACTGATATATAACTTGAATACATAAATCAATAATTTAATACTTTTTTAAGAGGTATAATGTTTTTAAAAGGAAACACTAACATTTTTAGTGACATTGGCAGTGTGATAGTCATAACAGTGAATATTAGATAATTTATTATTTAATTCATCGTAATTAAAGTGCACTTTTCTTAAAGAAGCATGATCTTTGTTGCATGTGCAAGTGCTTAATGAAGAGTGCTTGACACAGCAGACCTTCGACCGTGTTGTGAGGACATAAGGTCTATATTTGTGAAGCAGCACCCAAATACCTGCCACGTAGTTCAACTCGTTCGAAAGCGGAAAGGAATTCTGATACTTTGATGTATATTCAAAAGAACGTCCGAACTATTCAACCATGAAATTCCTTCTACATTTTAACATCTCACTTCGCTTTAATCGCATTAGACTTTCAAACGAATAATTTGTTTTTATATTTTCATATTTCTATTCCTGTGAACGTATACTTTTTCTACTATATCTATCACTATGGTAGAATTTATTACTTAAAAAGAGGAGTTATTTGCCAAATAGTCAAGTACATATTTGAATCTTCTCGTGTTTCCTACCATAGGCTTACCGTGTCTTTAATATCAAAAAAGAAAAAGATACAAAAAATGTTCATGTGATAAGGATTTTACAGTGGTCAAAAAATAAAAGCTTACACTGGAATTTGGTACATAAGTTTCGCGTTTTCTGGGCAAGAAAGTAGTAGTGTAGTAGGAGTAGTGTAGGAATAATAACTCTAAAATTAAAACATTAGATGATAATGACGTAGTGAAATAGGAGAAGCTGTGTTTCATAAAACATTATAATATGCACATATTATTTGTCGTATTCTGGTCTCATGTCACAGTGTGATACAGTAAAATAGAAGAAGCTATAGCATTCTATTCCGCATTCGTCCCAGCGAATCGTGCCTATATCATGTTCGACTCACAGTGGTCGGCGTTGTCCATCTCACCTCGGCTGGGTGTGGATGTCGCGCTGCCGTTCATCTTGGGCGAGTGAGCCGGGCTACCGTTCAGTTCACTGTCCCCAAATTGAATGTTACTCCGTATGGTGTCCGTGATCATTGGAGCGACTGATGCGTTGCCGCCCGTCTGGAAATTTTACAGTTACCATACTATATTTTGGGTGTTTATCATATGAAGGTCTCTTTAAAGACTTTAAGACTCATTTAACGTTACTACTACAGAACGTTTTTTAAAGCTTAGATCCAGCTCATAGACTTGGAGTATTCAAACAAACTCTAAAATATTTTATCCAGTTTGGAACTCAGAAACTTCAGGACTAATCTAATCACTAATCTTGTTTGACTTTGTAACATTGGGATATGTGAATAGTATAAATTGGGTATCTCCCGGTTAGATTTAGTCATGACAGTTATGATTTGGACATATCAAAGTAATGACCTATATATTATGTGAGTGGTTTTGTATCTACCTGTCCAAACAAACGTGAGTGAGTGTCACGAGGGCGGGTCGGCGTGTCGCGGGGCATGCGAGGACGGCTGGAGCCGTTCTTCACGGGGCTACCACCGTCAGTGGTATCAGCGTTGAAAATCTCAGCGATACAGCTCTTTGGGGCATTGGGAACTCTGAAACATACAAATTATATGAAATCGCTATACCAATTCCTAATTGCTTTATTTTTAAACGATTGTACATACACTAAGGATCGAATTTGTATGAAATACAGTTTTGAACAATGGATAAAAAATGAACAGTTCATTGTCCCCTAAAAATATATCTTTCTAAAATTCCATTTCTATCGAGTTACCGAAATTTGATAGTCATAAAGTTATTGAACTCCAATGGTCACCCCAGCTAGTGGACACGCAGAGCTATTACCTGTAGGGTCCACGCAACTTCCGTAGGGGGAACTTATGTATAAATACCGCAAACAAATCAATTCAAGTTCAAAAACACATAAAAATGATCGTAGGGATACCTATATGTACAGTTCGTTGACCTATGACGAGCAAATGAAATGCTTTGTCAACATTTCCAATGAAATGAATTCAAAATCAACAAAAGCGTAATACAAACAAGTTTTAAGTAATATTAAATATTTAAATGTCCGGCTTTATGCATCACGAGCTTTATTAAAAACCAATGTTATTACAGATATATATCTAATCTCTAATCTTATACTCATGTCGTCAACGAGTTAAAACTTATTACGTTGTGTATCAGTTAGCCTATTTGAAATGCAAGCGTTGCGAGGGCAATTTTCTAGAAAACATCATTACCGGCATCGTTTGATTGTCGGTGCTTTAATAAGACCCGCTAACAGAAAACTCTCGATTATAAACTCAGACGCCATTTAATGGCTGATGGCGTTAAATAATTGACGGTTCTTCAAACTTTAATTATAAATATAATGTAAATAATGATACTCTATGCATATTAAATTTACACTGTATGAGAAAATTTTATAGATTCACTGTACGTGCTGGCTTAAAAGTGAATTTACTTCTTTACCCTAAACCCATTAAGCTTAATCTTTTTCATTAAAAAGTAATGAGAATATCTCATAATAGAACATAATTGAATGAAAATTTTCAAATGGACATTAAAAGTTTTAAAGTTTAAATTTGTTGTAAAACAAAAGAATAAAAGATTGATTGACTTTTTATAAGACGTATAAATCTGTCACACACTGTAGATACAAATTAGGTATTTGTTATACAGAACACGTATGGTTTAAAAGTCTCAGAAACAATAACGTGACGAACAATTATATGTTGTGTTAGTTTAACGGGTGATAAAACATCAAATGTCAAATTTAACATAAATCCATTTTAATACCCCTATAAATGTTTTTTATAGCGCAATTGTTATTTTTATCAACACTTGGCGTTGCGGTCATCACGTGGAGATAAAAAATTTAATTAGAACTGAGAATAGCTATGTTCATTCCGACATTACAATTATTTGCACCCAAAAAATATTTAACGATACTTCTGATATAAATATTGGAAGATATCGTCGTTAAGAAAATTAATGTATAAAATAAGGACAAAAGGAGATCAAAACTTTTTAAACGTAATATAATTTGCTCGTCGTAAAAAAAATGTAATATTAAAAGAATTAAATACACTGATTAAAAAATGAATTGTGACAAGAGTGAAGTGGAGTGGAGATAACAGAATCAATACTCCGGCATTGCGGCTATACAAGCTCGTGTACCTACATTTTCCATAGACAACAAAGAACAATCTAAAAAGACGTACCAAAAAGGTTAGCTTTGATATATAAAAATAATATATTTTAAAACTGACATATACCGAGTTATGTTTGAATAAATGTACCTATAAAATAAAATACGTCAACTTTTCCAAACATTGGATTCTAAATGTTTTTTTTCCATCATATATTTACATAAGTCATAACAAAACATACAAGTCTAGTAATATCGAATCTGAGGCTTAATTAAATTACTCGAAACAAAATGATTTTGTAAATGTTCTTTATGAAGCTCTGTTATTCAGTTAATTATAATACTGCACGACTTGTCATCTCCAAGAAATTATTTTGAACCCTATAATACATTAGTCTGTAGCGTGGGCGTACTATCGAATACCCCCCGTGTTGCCATTACAGATGAACGCAAATTAACCTACAATATTCCAAGGAAGCATTGACTGCAGAAGTAGGTAGAGCATAGACAATATAGAAGTGCATAGACAATATGGAGGTGCATACACCAATTTTATTACCCACGCAATTTCGTTCCGCTACTGGAAATTGAAAACCGCCGATGTATTCCCGCCTGGATCTAATTTGGGTGACGTCCTATTAATAAACAATCTACGATTCCAAATATGCAACATTCATGTTCATGCACGTTTACTTATAAAATTTAAATATTTTGTTTGTTCTTTGTTACATTGGTTGTATGACTGGCAACATTTTAAGGCTATTGGACATAAATAATAGTTTTTGATAAAATAGAAAATCTAAAACTTGAGATAAATACTATTAATAAAATATGTCGTAACAAATAAATATCAAAAGTATTCATTACATAATTTTATTATGATTTAATATTTTTTTTAAACCAACTATAAAGAAAAGAGAAAATAAAAAATTCTAAACTTGAACGCTTGTGGTTGCAGACGGGCTTTTTAGATTACACGTCGGAAACTTAAAGTGCAATCTACTCTGATTGATATAATAGCGCCCGATTGAAAATAGAACCTCTTTCTAATTCTTGTTTTGAAAATTGAAAATTCCTCTTAATAATTGGATCGTATCAATTGACTTAAGGTGTATTATAGGGTTAGAATATCACTTTTATTTAGTCAGTCGAGGCTATCATAGTCGTAAAACTGACGCCGCTTTATTATTAACAAAAAAAAAAGATAGAAATGTAATTACGAAGTAAGTACATAGAATAATTACGAAGGAACGCGCAATCGGCGCTATAATTACGGCGAGTAAAATGCGTTAGAGTGAATATTACGGTTCTGTAATAGAAAATAACAGCAAAGCAATACAGCGGATATAGGCCATGATTTGAAAATGATGAAAAAAATAGACACGCGCCTGTGCCACAAGATGGCGATGTTACTAAAATAGACATCTGTCAAAATGTCGGGCGCCGGAAGACAATAAGAAAACAATGTGTTATTTCACAATACAACGTTTGTTATAACTATATTTCAAATGAGAAATCTATGATTGAAACTGACAGACTGAATTCATTTAACACTCTCAAGTCTCAGCAAAGTTCCTTTGAACTATCGTAAATAGTTTGAGCTCGATTACTTTCTATTGTCATCAGTCAAAGAAAGTAATGAGATAGTCACTTTGGATTGTGAATATTATTTATTTTTTATATATTAATTAATTATTAATGTAAATGCTAAAACAAATAACATTAAATAAACATATTTGTTATTATAACAAATATTAAATTAATACATTTTTAAACTCACCGTTTAAAATATATCGATTATGGACATTCTCACCAATTAATGGTGTATTTTTTTTAAACAAAGCAATAAAAAAAGTTTGTCAAAATCAAATAAAAATATATTGACCGTTAATTTATTTAATTGGCGATTGACCGAACAGTACTAAAAACGTAACAAAGAGATACATAAAATTTTAATGTCTGCGTTGCTTATTATTTATATTATGGCTTGTTTTTGGGACTACTTAAAACCAATAAATTTAATAAAAAATTGTACAGGGCTATTTAAATACTCACACACAGTTTTAAGAAGGAAGACAAACATAAAAGCTTCTCAACAGGTATAGTATTCAAAATTAACTAAATAAATCTTGCGATTTAATGTTCCCTAGATATAGCATTTTTTAAAATCAACTCTGACTATTTATAGAATATTAAATAAGCAAATTCTATAAAGTGTAGCTGTCGTATACACATGTAAATTAAATTGGTTTTTAATCATAATAAATATCGATGCATGTTTAAATGGCGATAAATATTGAGTATGCTTTTAACACTCGGATAACGTTTAATTTCAATAAAACATAACTCTAATAGCATCCATGAGACTTTATCAATTTCTAAATAAATTTTCTTTGGTATTAAACATATATAATAAGAAACATGTCTAATAACACTGTTTTCATAAACCGTACCACGATGATGTGCATGGTTTCAGGTCATTTTTATTTTATCCTAATATAACCATTGCTATAATGCATTTGCTAGTGAACAACTTATATAAAAAAATACTCGGAATAAATTTACGCATTCGTTGTTAAGTCTTTTATTTTATTAATATTCTTTTCATATTGTACATAATGAAATTGAGTTTATTCAGGCTCAGATGTAACTTCAGTGAATCTTTAAACATATTAAATAATAAAATATAATAATAATCTGATTGGAATTTGGACAATGGCTAATGATTATATGTTCTATTATACAAGTATAATTTCATTAACTAAGTATACAGTTAAAGCACGATCTTTACCGTCAAAAACTTATACCTATCAATGAGACCTATTGGCTTTTTAACCTAGAATCATTCCACGTTTCACGGGCCGTGTATACAGGTTGTGGGAACATAAGTTGTAAATAATAAACAAGCCAATTTGCATCGTCTATTTGTCGGATGAATCGCGGTCGTGTAACGTACAAAGCTCAGACGGACGATTGGATTTCTAAATTGATTTTATGATTATAGAATTGTAAATCCTAATAGATTTCTTAAATTTTGTAATATTATATCAAATTTTGTAATCATGTCTAAAAACGCTTAAAAGAAGCTTCTGTGTCATCAAAAACTGAAAAGTAACCCTACTATTAGTTTGAACACGGCGTAGTCTATAAGTAATAATATCAGAAAATATATGTATCTGTTTCAAAATTTTTGTTTAAGTAACAACTAAAATATTCGTTTCAATATGTAAATAGTAATAATATACAACATCAAAATTACCCGATATTGATGTTGTACTTGGCTATATTTCTTTTCTGCACAAGTGACATGTTCCTCATGAAACTAAATTACACAAAGGTGACTGTGAAATATATGATTACGTGTAACAATGTTGTTAGTACTCGGAATAAAAAAATTACTCGATTCAAAATCGCTCGTATGTCAGTTTTGATCAGTACACCGATTTCGATAAATAGGAGGTTTTGGTTTCTCTCGTGGTTGAGACTGTCGAGAGCTTTCTTTGGAATCAATCCTTTTTTTCTAGAAAACTTATTACAAGGTGACAAATAAATGAGAAATATACTGAAGAAAATTACAAATATAAACATACAAAAATTGTGTTCTTTAAAATTACATGAAAAATTTTTTTTCCATTTCTTTGAATTATTTATAAAATTTTAATGAAAACATCGATTCGTTGTCTTCTTTCTATATATTTAATAATTCTATAAAAATAAATAAATCAGCATTACATATAGTATGTACAGTGTCTTTATTTTTAATTGGAGTCGTATATTTTTTTTACCTTAATAAAAAAAAATATTAAGGTAAATATAAAAGCACAAACAGATCTTTACATGTTTAAAAATATATTACTTGCGCTGCCCTTTTAGCCTTCGAGCTCAAATCATTACCCACTAACAAGTAGCCAAGGTTAAGAAAAGAGATGTTTTTTTTTTCATCCACTTAGTGTTTCCATTTATTCAAGCAAGTATGGATCCTATTGCATAGTGGTAGGGTCGTTTTTAGTTTACAACGATACACCATCATACTTAGCTTAGTTCGTTCCACTCGTGTTCGATTAACACTGTACAAGGCCGGAAAAAGTAAAATTTTTAACTAAAGAAGCCAAATATAATATTCAAAGTTATATATAGTACATATATGTATATACATATATTATTTATTTTCTCTTCGAGAATTTTAGAAATAGTATTTTAAAACTATTTCCTCTTCGAGATTTTTAGAAATTTTATTCTAAACTTAAAATATAATTTCTTTCCGTAACATCAAACGATGTTAAAATGTTAGACATTTGGTTATACATCAAATTTGATAAAAGAGACATACAATTCATGCTTGTTAATATAAAGGTACTTATGGATATACTTTACAAGATAATTATTTTTGTTTAGTAAAATTATAAAAGAAATTAACCTGTGTATTATAATTTTGAATGTGAAGAAATAAAAATAATACATATCCCAGATTAAAAAACTATGCTAAACTAAAAAGCTAAGCTGTCAAAGTCAAGCGTTGTACCAATAAACAAACAATTCTTTGTTCGTACACATTCCATACATTTATGAGGCTTTCGTTTCTAATTAACGTCACTTAGTAACAGCACGTGATACTTCAATAAGAACCAACGTGCGGTATTCGTGAATCCCTTCTTTGGTATGTTTCGTTTATTCATCAACACTATTGATATCTTCCGCTTGTTTTATTAATTTTCTAAATAAATTACAACTGTCACTGTCAGTTTAAATATTTTGAATCAGTTTTTTTTTTTCATGGCGAAGGTTGAATGCGTTAAGACTTATTATATACTAGCTTTCTAAATATGTCTTACCTTATCTAACAGTTAAGCTAAATATATTCTCACCACAGTCTTATGATGATATATATAAACACTAGCTTTCCGCCCGCAGCTTCGCCCGCGTGGAGTTCGGTTATATCGCGTTTTCAAGAGAACCTTTCAAGAGTCTGGGATAAAAACTATTATACGTTCTTTCTCAAGATCAACTCTATCTCTGTACCAAATTTCTTTAAAATCAGTTCAGTGGTTTAGGCGTGAAAGCGTAACAGACATACAGACAGAGTTACTTTCGCATTTATAATATTAGTAGGGATAATGTATCTAAAACAGTTCTATAGTTATATAAAGCATGTTATTGATTTAGTTTGGGATAAAAAGGGCTGTTTTAAAAAGGTAAATATAAAAGTATTTTCACTTGAATTTCAAGCGCACGAGGGCATATTTTACGTCACACTAACGAGCCCGTGACTGTTTAAAGAGCACTCGACTTTTTAAAAGATAAAGCGATACACAGAATTACATTTTATAAATTTCTAAACTTTTCTACTGCCAAGAAAAAATATTAACTTATTTTACAGCCCTATTATTATATTATAATTTTTATTTAGGAATTTAAATTCGTATAAAAAATATTTAAATGATATTAATTTCTATAGTTTTGGTCACAACTAATTACAATACATGTAACGTATTTTAAATTTAGACCAATCTTATGTCAGTAAGGCATTCGTTATTTGTAGTTGTGCAGTAGACACGAAACGCGGTCATTACCCCGAACGGCTGTCTACCAAGCGTCTACGACCTTCCGCTACCATATTATACTAACAACTACACCAAGCCAACAAACACTACATACATTGAATATTAGATATGGATAATAATCAACTGGTGCGATTATAAAACAGTAATGTATTGACACAGCCGCGATACAATCAACGGACTGCTAGCAAACAAAGTTCTATTCCATGACTGAAATGAATTGATAAAATCAAATCTCGTTCAAGGCGTTTCGTTCTGGGACGTCGAAGAGAAATCGATATCTTCTCGCGAATTATTGTTGAATCTTAGATAACATCGTGATATTGCTCTCGGTACAGATAATAAAATTTATAATCCAGGTTGTACACGAACTGGTCTAATTGACGCTTTTTTAAGTTCCGGGTATTGATAAATTGTTATTAAGTTGTCGATACGAGGAAGAAACATTTTTTAACATTATATAATTTATGTTGTATGAAGAAAAATGATCACTATTTAGGAAAATCTTCTGAAATGTAACGTTTTATTATTTATTTCCTACAAACGTAAATCAAAGTCGTATATAATATTTATTAGAATTTAAGGCCAGTAACCTTTTGGCCGCTTGAAAACAATCGATATTGCAATTTACTGGACGATAGCCAGAGGAAGATACAATTTTGCGTGGATGTAAGCAATTTCGTACACGTTTTCCAGAATACTCAAAAAGCTAAACTTTAACTGCATTTTAGTAACTTAAAAGTAAAACATTCATTTTTATTATATAGGTTAAAATACATTCATAGTGTAGAAAATTTAATTAATCCTTATTCGCGAACCAAAGAGTATTTATATATTGATAAAACGTATTCATATGTGTGTGCATTACGTGGTTGAATCATCACTAACGATCGCACACAGCCAATATAGGCTTCGCTACAACTAAACAATAAACGACAACACTGGGTTTTCTGCTTTCAAATCACTATTTAATTCACTTTTAAAAACAGTGATTGAAAATGTTAGAAATCAAGCCAACGGGCGACGGCTCGTTGAATATTAGTTTTCTTTTTAAATCGTAATTTACTATATTGTTGGAATTTTTCTGGTTATTCCAAACACTATATTGAAAGTGTTAGACATACATATATGTATGTATATGTAATTTAATGAATACGACTTCAAATATTTTAAAATTATAAGTTTCTAAATTGTCTTCTTCCCTTTGACGTATATCTCAGTGAGTAAAACATTGCTCTTATGGTTACCTTAAATGGTTAGACGTAAAAGATTGAACGGCGCGTGCGAATTATTGATGTATTATGTCAATATGACTGAGTCATGTACAAGAAGTTCCGTCTATATATACAAAACTATTTTTATTTTGATATACTCTCAATACGAATACTCACTTAGTATGTTTTCAAAATTTAATATGCAATGAACCTTTTATTTTGATTCCTATTATTATTAATGAATATCAAGTCTATTTGTCCTTTCTGTTAATTAAGTAGAATAACATAATATGTTGTCAGAAACCTAAGGGAGGTATTTACAATATGTTGATATGATATTCATTTAGAATATAACATATCACGAAAGAATAAGTGGTAATTAAATCCAATTTCTTTTTGCGTGTTAATTATCTAGATTGGGCATGTTTAGAAATTAATCAATTATTCGGCCGTCAGCCGCACTGCGTCAAATTTAACAGAGATGACTGATTAATAAGGAAATTACGAGTGTTTTAACAGAAAAAAGTCACAATCAATTTGACAATGCATCACATATTGTGACCCCTCTTTTCGTTTAAGGTTTTTCCTATTCAAAAATAACAACTATGTCATTGTAACACACAAATTAAATTTATAATCCATTAAAAGTTGATTAATACAAAATACATCTCCAAAAGCCTAGTTTAGAAAGCACATCGTACAATTTTGATCGAGATAATACTAACGAGACGAGCAGACAATGAACGATTGTGAATAGAGATTTGATAGATTACTGTACAGTTAATTAGTTGAAGCTATAATTGCTAACATATCAGCTATAAGCATTAACTGACAAAAAATATAGCTTCAAAAGAAACGAGATCAGTGTCAAACAAAAAAATATCTATAAAATTAAATACTAGAAGACTCAAATTTTAACCGATGATGATTATTTGATACTTTAGTATCCTTCGAGTTAAGACATAACGTTATAAATCAATGTTGAAGTATGGAGTGAAAATTAAATGTTTATTTATGAACGAATGCTAGAAAGCTGATAGCTGTGTATTTGTATATCCAATTTTCCCTAAAACGGATAGACATCGTCACGGATGGATGGGAATTTCTTGGTAATTCAATGGCATCGGTAATAATTCTTGCAACTGCGAGCTAATACTCCGTCTCGATTTGTGATTAGAAGTTTGTGGTCTACGTGAGAATGCTAGTTGATGCTTGGTGGCAGAATTATCTGCAAATTGCTGCTCAACGTGCAACAAGCCGAACAGCCGCATGAAGAAATGCATTAATTTATCACGTGGACGTGTCTAGACCGATGTGCTTCTCGCACCGTAATGATATTCTCATTAGTTTCACAATCTAACGCGTTAAAATTATAAACTTTCACCAAATAGCATTGTCATGGACAAAATACTAATGATAGGTGTCCTGAATAATAATATTGCAATTTGATTTGAACTTTTCATGTCTAAAAACTTGCGAAGTCGTATATTTACGTTGTTTTTCAGTAAAAGTTTTGAATTTTCTTTTCTTTTTATTG